ACAGTCATTCCATAGGCCTATGCACACCCTTTCTATTCTTTTCCCTTGATAAACTCTTAGAGTGGGTTTTGTTGTGCCTTGAGGCTTCTCTTGTATGGTAAACAGCACCACTTAATACATAACAATTACCACCTAACATTATGCTTTTGTGTTTTCTGTCTCCACAAGAAAGTGAATGCCTAACAGCAAGAGCAGCCAGTTCAGTTACTAATCATCCCTATTACTTGGTTCAAAATGAACATCCAGTAAATATTTGTTTATCAGGGAATATAGATAATATAAGAACTATTAATTAGTCTTTTCTGTCAAATAGTGTAAAAGTAAATATTTTTATCTCCCCAACTTGTAAGACTTTTATGAAAAGCTTTTAATCAGGAACCTGTCCACATTCCTTGTAAAACCTTTAGGCAAATGTTTTAATACCTCATCACACCACTGGGTAAAACTTTTGTTTATACAAAGGCCTGCAGTATTCTAGAATTTACATGACTTAAAAGGCCACCACCTTCCCATTCTCTTTCATTTCCTTTACACAAATTCTTTTAAAACTAGCCCATCACGAAAAATTGTGAAGTGGGACCCCAGCCAGTGGGGAAAAGATATAGCCATCCCTGACGATAGAATAAAAACCTAGTCAACTTCCTCTACTGATATGCTCCTTATCCTGCTTTAGCTTTTGGCACACACTTTTTACAAAAATAAATTGCCTTGCTGAACTACGTTCGCTTTGTTCATGTGTTCCTTACTGCAACACTGAAAGAATTCTTGGTTTGATTCTCTCAATTGCTGTATAGATAATGATAAGATAAAGGGGTAGATTATTGAACCTACTTTTAAAGAACAACTTGTTTAAAAATGTTTTACATGCTATGGATTTTAGTTTATTGATACAAATTTAAAGTTAATTTTGTTATACTGTATATATATATATATATATATATATATATATATATTTCTATTCTCATTGGAGGTATTATGATTATTTAACTCATTTAAATTTTAATGGATAATTAAGAAATACAGATTAATGCTGTGGGACGGTCTGTATGTCTGTATTGCTATGATTGGTCAATAAATAAAACACTGATTGGCCAGTGGCCAGGCAGGAAGTAGGTGGGGCAAGGAGAGAGGAGAATTCTGGGAAGCGGAAGGCTGAGGCAGAGAGAGACACTGCAGCCACCGCCATGACCAGCAGCATGTGAAGACGCCGGTAAGCCACCAGTCACGTGGCAAGGTATAGATTTATGGAAATGGATTAATTTAAGCTATAATAACAGTTAGCAAGAAGCCTGCCACGGCCATACAGTTTGTAAGCAATATAAGTCTCTGTGTTTACTTGGTTGGGTCTGAGTGGCTGTGGGACTGGAGGGTGACAAAGATTTGTCCGGACTGTGGGCAAGGTACGAAAATTCTAGCTACAGATTAATAACTAGTCTTCTATGATAGTCAAACTTATAGTCATGTTAAGTTTTCTAGATATACATAGATATAATTCAGTTAGGTAGGTAATCTTCAAACACTTCAAAGACCTACAGAATATGGCATTTAAAATGTTTTAAAAATTTAGACTTTCTGGACAGTGAGACATGTCTGCTCCTGGCAGCACCAATTTACCTCGGAGAAGAGGATGGACATCGAAGACACTCCATATGGAGTTTATCTTCTTTTTGGCGAAAATAGTGATTTGGGCAAGAAACTGTTCTTGCCTGGACTGCTTGATCAACTGGACATGCAGGGCCCATAGGAAGGTGACCACTGAACTTTGATTGGCAAAATGATCCTTCAGGTTCCTGCTATGCAGAGAAAACTGTCAGACATTCTACAGGACACAGAGAAAAGTGACTGAGAGACTCTAAGCCTGTGGGCTAAAGACAGATGCCCCAACTTTACAGAGAAACTTTAGATGATTGTCTAGGCTGTCAGCTGTCTCTGTCTACTCTCGCAAGACTCCCAAAAGTTGCTTGCATCCTTTCTCCCATTTCTCAGGTATTAGTATATCCTTCTGGGGTCTTTGATGTAGTTAAAGACTAGATAGTTATAATTTCCTTAGTTTTGATAAGAGATAAGTTAGATATAAAACCTTAGACTCACAAATATAAGATAGATAGGATATCTTCTTTAATTTTGCCAAATACAAATAGACTAGATATTATAAACAGACTAAATATTGTAACTGTAATTCTTGCTTGATAATTGTTTTGTTATATATAATTTTACTGTGTTAAAGTCAAAACCTTCCTTTTTTTTTAAAACAAAAGGAGGGGAGTGCTGTGGATCATTGATTGATAAATAAAACGCTGATTGGCCAGTAACCAGGCAGGAAATATAGGCAGAACTAGCAGAGAGGAGAATTGGGGAAACAGGAAGGTGGGGTGGAGGAGATGTGGCCAGTCGCCACGATGAGGAGCAGCATGTAAAGTACCGGCAAGCCACGAGCCACGTGGCAAGGTATAGATTAATAGAAATGGGTTAATTTAAGATGGAAGAACTAGATAACAAGCAGCCTGCCATGGCCATATAGTTTGTAAGCAATATAAGTATGTTTACTTGGTTGGGTCTGAGTGGCTGTGGGACTGGCGGGTGAAAGACATTTGTCCTGACCAGGCCAGGCAGGACTGGAGAAAACTCCAGCTACAATCAATAGTTGTATATTGAGAAATAACTCTGGGGCTGGAAAGATGGCTCAGGCCTTAAAGGATAGGCTCACAACCAAAAATATGAAAGAAATGGCTCTTTTGTAATACATTACTATGCACTGAAGCATTCCGGTAGCCTTCACAAAAACCCTGGGTAAGTGTGAGAGGATGCCAGGGTTGCAGCCATCTTAGGGAAAGGTCAGACAATGAGCAGCAGCAGGCCCTTGAACAAATTGTTCTAAAAAAAAAAAACTCACCAGAGATGTGCTGCCCCATCGCCCCTAGGCCCAGACAATTAGGAACTACACATAAACAAGTTCCAGACATCTCCTGCCATAACCTAAAGGATACGATATGACATAACTGGCATGTAACGAACAAAGCACCAGATATGTCCCGTGGGGTGTTTTCTGCTGTTACAGACTGTATACCATTGCTGCCAGAGGGAATGAGTTTCCTGCAGATAAACATGGGATGTTTAACTATCAGAGGAAATGGGTCTGCTGCTGATATAGATGCGATGGTAAAAACTGCCAGAGGATATGGCAATTTCCTTGGAGCTGCAACTCTCCAGTCAGTTCAAACCAAGCGTCTCCAACCTGAAGTAAGCACCAATCCTGAGCTTGTGACTATATAGAGTTGGAATTCCCCTAGATTCCTGACCCTAACCACTATAAAAACCCTATCCTGTTACTGCTTGGGGTCCCTCTCACTCCACTACTGGCTGCTACAGATGGATGAGGGGCCCGGTTTTACACTCTTTGCTTTTGCATTCGAATAGGTCTCTTGGTGATCTCTGGGGACATGGGACTTTGAGTGCAACAAGAGGCAGAGTAGCTTGGAAGTATTCTATTACACAGGATAGCCTGAAGCTTGGGGGAAAAGACAAAACAAACAAACAAACAAACAAAAAACACTCTTAAAAGGTCACAAGGCAACAATAAAAAAGGAAAACTAGGAGGTAAAACCCTCTAGATTTCACTAATAGCAGAATCAAGGAATCAGGTTGGCTCTAATCAAAAATTGCCACATTTGTTGAGAATGTTTTTATGGCAATCAGAAAGGCATGATTTTCAATTGTGGCACTATATTCTCTTCCAATTTCTTTTTTTTTTTTTTTTTTGAAACTGAGTCTCACTGTGTAGCTCTGGCTGGTCTGGAACTCACTATGTAGACCATTGCCATTATTTTCTTGCTAAACCCCCAGAACAAGAAACTCAGCCAATGAACACTTAGTTTTTAGTATATATCAAAAAGGAAAGAAAGAAAGAAAGAAAGAAAGAAAGAAAGAAAGAAAGAAAGAAAGAAAGAAAGAAAGAAAGAAAGAAAGAAAGAAAAAGTTAGTCATAAAAACTTCAACTTTAGCCAGGCGGTGGTGGTGCACACCTTTAATCCCAGCATCTGGGAAAGAGAGGCAGGTAGATCTCTTTGAGTTTGAGGCCAGCCTGGTTTACAGAGCAAGATCCAGGACAGGCACCAAAACTACACGGAGGAACCCTATCTCAAAAAAACAAACAAACAAACAAACAAAAAAAAACTTTAAACTTTACTAAAACTCTCAAGTAAATTTTACGTATAAATACATTTACACCTAGCACATGTATTTTAATAACAAATGCAAAACACTGAAAATGCTTAGATGGATCCTTTCATCCCATAAATACAAAAGACTTTTGGTCCTGGGCCTTATAATTAATTCGAGGTAAATTTACACATGCAAAACTCACAAATCCCTTAAAATTCACATGATGAATTAAAAGGAGAGGATATCAAGTACATATCACATAGCTCAAGACATCCTGTCTAGCCACAGCTCCACGGGACCCAGCAGTGATAAAAGTCAAGCAATTAGCGAAAGTTTGACTAAGTTATACCTCTTAGAATTGGTAAATATCGTGCCAGCCGCCACGATCATACGATTGACCCAAACTAATTGTTCTCGGTGTAAAACGTGTTTTATGATGACTCTCAAACAGAATTAAAATCCAACTTATACGTGAAGATTCACTGTTAAACCTAAATCCAACAACGAAAGTAATTCCAGGCTGGTCTTGAGCTCACAGAGATCCGTCTGCCTTTGCCTCCCGAGTGCTGGAATTAAAGGCGTGCACCATCGCGCTCTTCTCTCTTTATTAGCAGGTGTCCGCTGACAGTGAAAGGCTACTCAAAAAACGAAACCCTCCGTTGCCCAGCGCTAAAATGGCCGCGTCGGCTTCGCAGCCCACACCCAAAATGAACGCTGACTGTGACGTTTCCGACCTCAAATCACCATTGGTCCCCTCCCTAAGCCAAGACCCCGCCTCCCCCGCTGCGCCCGCCCTTCCGTCCGAGGCCTGGCCTTGATTGGCTGTTGGGACTATTTACCTCTCGTCCGGATGCTGCGTCACGCGGTGGGTCGCGCAGCTGCGGAGGAGCGGGCAGAGGGAGGTCGCGCGCTCTCGGTTTGGCCGGCCTGGAGGGGAGCCCCGTGGTAGAGGTGACCGGAGCTGAGGTACAGTCCGCCGGACGGGCTGCGTCCCTGCGGGGTCCAGGCCGGCCGCTGCGGCCGGGCCGGGAGGGCGTGGCTGGCCCTCGCCGTCCTCTCCCTGGGCTGGGCGCCGCTGAGTCAGCCCCCCGGGTGCCGTGGGGTGGGTGGTGCGCGGACGCGGAGGAAGCCTCAAGAAGGGCCGGCAGTAGCTCGTACAAAACTAGCCCAAGGCCCCGTGTCTGAGGTCCAGAGCCCTCCCTTAAATAAGTGTGGCAGTAACTGCCTTGGGCCCTGACACTCAGACTTGGGCCGCTGTCCGGGTCAGTAGGCTAAAGGCTGAGGAAGCGACAGGTTGAGATGATGTAATGGCATGAAAGTACCAGAAGGGCCCTCGGTTTTTTCCCCAGCAAGGTCAGATGCGTAGAGTTCTGTGCACTTCGTGGTTCCTGCGGAAGGTCTCTCGGGTATTTTAAAGTAACGTTCTTCACGTTGAAGATCCTGGTTAAGATTTCTTTCTCATTACCTTCCCAGAGTTTTAAGGTAAATCTTGAGCGATTTCAAAGTCCCAAGGCTCTGCTTTGGTCCAGTTTTCTTGTATTTACACATGGAGGAAAAAAGACGCCAAAGGATAGTGACTTGCCTAAGATTCATCATATCTCATTGGCCAGAAATGTGCATTTAGCATTACAAAAGACCTCCGCGTAGCCATTTATCTGATATAGTCTTCCTTGAGCTAAGACAAATTCAATGTTAGTGTGTTGGGGGAGAACTGTTTGTTTACCCCGTTGAGGACATCAGCAGTCTTAACAGTAGGGAAACGTAGCTGGGCAATTATGTTTATTTTGATCAGGTGTTATGTAGTAAAGGAATAAAATAACATAATTGAAGGTGTCTGTCGTATCTTAATATTTGAAATATTTACTAGACATTTCTCATGCCTGGCTTCTGTAGATGTCTTTTAGTCTTGTACAGTTTGACCTCAAATGGTTATTCATCTTTTCCTTGGATAATGTTTTTCCTGTGCTGAAAAATTTCACAGATTCTTTTAACTTGACTCATTGAGTGATGGTATAAATATCAGTCAACACTACGATTGTAAAATCTGTCAGAATTTGTAATTGTGTTAACATAGTAACATTCATTCTATATTACATATATCTAGGTAAACTGGGATTCATATTATTGGGTGGCCCATTCAAAATTGGATTTCATGAGTTAGAAGGGACAAGGGGAGGATTCAACATTAAGAATTAATGAGGCTACTGTTGTGGGGGTTTGTTTTGTTTTCTGCAGAACCTTGATTTGTTCTATTCTTTAGTTGTTCTGTTCCCTTCTCAATTAACTTAATTATTTCCCCTCTACCTTTTTAACTAGCTTTTCAGATCTGCTTAGTGAACCGGTGTATCACCCACCATGCTGGTTTCAAGGCTCGTGTGTCTCCGGACACTACCTTCCAGGGTTTTCCAGCCCACTTTCACCAAGGCCTCCCCACTCGTGAAGAATTCCATCACGAAGAATCAATGGCTCTTAACACCCAGCAGGGTAAAGAATGGTTTTTCAACATGTGTTTCCACCCCCATCCAGGTCTTTTGTTTTAGGATTTCTTTTTTTCCCTTTTTTTGGTTGGTTAATTGGTGAGTTGCCTGTGAGATTCTCTGGTTGTGCTTAGCTTACTCTCTTTAGTGACTTACTGTAACAGTGACAAAGCAACAGTAAAGTTTCCTGTGAGCGTTCTCCCTATCAATTTACATTATTCCAGTCTCTCGTTATCACAAATAAGAGATCGTATACCTTATGTCTCTTGGAGTTTCTCACTCAAAAAGCTGAGAGTAAACATTGGGAAATTGAGTTACATGATACAACAAAAGGATTGTAAGTGGGAACTATAGTCAAATGCTTAAGGACCCAGAGATATTACTGGTTGGTCCAGCTGATCAATTAGTTACTAAAGATGGTGTTACAGTTTTTGCTTAGATGAGGATAAAAATCTGTCAGGTTATCGAGAAAGGCCTATTTTCTTTGGCAACAGGCTTTTTCCTTGGAGACAAGATCTCAATCTATAAAACTAGCTGACCTCCAGATAGTGATTTCTCCTGCTAGGTGCTGAGATTGCAAGCCAACTAATAGGTCTGTTTTCTAACATTTGAATGAGTATACTATGTATGTTTTTAAGTGTGAAGTAACTAATACAGAGAGGAGAATGTACAGTAGTTAGAAGGAGATAATTTTCTCTTAAAATAACATTGCTACTACTGGGAAAGAACTAGCTAAATGATTGAATGCTTTCCTACAGTTCATGAGGTGTTAGGTTTAACCCTCACTGCCTGGGGAAAAGTGTATAATCATTTCAGAGATGGAGCACAGGTCAACCTACATCTAATCTTAGTTAACTGTTATACTGATACTGTGTTAGTGTAAAAGACCCTCTGTTGTTGACATACTGTTGGTCTGAATGGTACGTGTCTTTTTGATATGTCAGGAATATGCTGCCAAGACAAGAGTAAGGATCCACCGTGGGAAAACTGACCAAGGACTGAAAGAGGCAGCTTTGGAACCATCAGTGGAAAAAATTTTTAAAAGTAGGTGGAAGTTCAGTACTTAACGTGAAGCTGCTAGGTGTGTTTAAGAAGTCCATGAACAACTTCCTGAAAATACATTCAAACATGTGTATGTGTATTTTCTGCAAGAAAGGTCACACACTACTAAGGAAATCTGATAATCCCAAAAAAGAGTGGTGCTTTGCATTGGGTTTGATATTTGCTGGTTATATTAAGATTTACAGTTTTTAGGGGGCAGCTATTATATTATCTAAAGGAAGTTTGTTTCAGGTTATTTAGAATCTTCATTCAAGCATGTGTTTGTGAATGTCTCAAGTTAGAAATAAATCACTAAAACAGATCTTAGTAAAAGCTAACTCATTCAAGAAGAGTCCATGAGCTTTCCTAAGTCCTTTTAAGAGAGCACTATCTTTTTAAGTTTATATTTATTCATGTGTATGTGTGAGTATCTACAAGGTGTGTGCCAGTGTTCACAGAGGCCAGAAGAAGACATCTAATCTCCTGGGACTAGAGCTATAGGTGATTATATGCCACCTAAAGTGGGTACTGGGAACTGAACTCAGGTCCTCTGAAAAAGAGCAGCATGAGCACCTTCCGCAGAGTTGATAAATTTTCAATATTCTAAAGCAAGAGTGTCTGTCCCTTTGTTGGGCACATATTTTTCTGTGTTGATTCTCTAGACTCACTTAAAGTTTCACCTGGGTTAATACATAAGGCACATTGTGGAATGACTGATACCTTTTTTTTTTTAAAAGGTTTATTCATCTGGGATATGTTCTTGCTATGTAGACTCTGCTGGTCTTAGACTCATGATTTTTTGCCTCAGTCTCCCAAGTGCTTTAACAGTTACGTGTACCTCTGTACCAAAATGCTCCTCTATTCTTTGCAGTGATTATTGTACATTTGCTCCAAGAGTGTCCTTTCCTTCTGGTCTCCTAGTGTTGAGAATTCTCTATCTCCCCCATGATACTACTGTGAAGAAGCAGTTAGGATTTGATCCCCTCCTGAATATTTTGAATAGTTAACCCCAGCACTTTCATTTAGTTGAAATGTGCTAACCCTAGCCTGTTTGGTGCTATGCTTGCAGTTGACCAGATGGGAAGGTGGTTTGTTGCGGGAGGAGCAGCTGTTGGTCTTGGAGCGCTGTGCTACTATGGCTTGGGAATGTCTAATGAGATTGGAGCTATCGAAAAGGCTGTGTAAGTAAATTGTTCCCAAACAACCATAATCCTTCAAATAAAGGGTCTCTTTTTCTCCCCATCCTTGAGACTCTAGTCACTTTTGAAATGCCTTGTCTGGCTTTCATTTTTGAATGTGCATAATTATATAAAGTCTTTTTTGTTCATTTGTCATAGATTTATTCAAGCCTATGTAAGCATCTTTTACCAAGGTTATGCTTTCAGACAGGGAGAAAATGTATTGCTTTTTATGTGTATCAAATGTATTTTTTTTCCCCAAGACAGGGTTTTCTCTGTGTAGTTTTGCGCCTTTCCTGGAACTCACTCTGTAGACCAGGCTGGCCTCGAACTCACAGATCTGCCTGGCTCTGCCTCCCAAGTGCTGGGAGTAAAGGTGTGTGCCACCACTGCCCGTTCAAATGTATGTTTATGTCATTTAATCATAAATAGCTCTAAGATGTGAATAATTATTTACATCATAGTTGGGTGTGGTGGTGCATGCCTTTAATTCCAACACTAGGAGACAGAGTCCAGGACAGCGTGGTCTGTGGTCTACAGAGCCAGTTCCAGGATAGCCAGGGCTATATAGAGAAACCCTTTCTTGAAAAACCAAAAACAATAATTATTATTATTATTATTATTATTTCCATCATAATTAGATTGAGAACATTGAAGTGATTTATTCCAGAGTCTTTTGTGTCTAACAAATGATTTACTCAGAATTGACACCCATAGTTCTGTAAGCTAACCTTGTCATGTTTCTTACAGAATTTGGCCTCAGTATGTGAAGGATAGAATTCATTCTACTTACATGTACTTATCAGGGAGTATTGGTTTAACAGCTTTGTCTGCCTTGGCAGTAGCCAGAACACCTGCTCTTATGAACTTCATGATGAGAGGCTCTTGGGTGGTAAGTTAACTATTTGCTATTTTTCTGGGGAAGGTGGTGCTGGGTGATTGGTTGTTTTTGTTGCTTTTTGGTATAAGAACAAAAGATTTCGTGAAGTAGGACCATTAATAATTTAGTGCTAAAGAACTTGCCTAGAATCTGTTGAACTATAGGTTCAGTTCTTGATATAGGGAAGAAAAAGAGATTTTGCTAAAATCAATATTGTGGGAAAGGGAGAGGACATTAAATGGAAGAATACTGTATTACTCTTTATCAAATATGTTTTTTAATCAGATCAAAGGAGTTGAAAACTGAACTTAGGAGCAGATAGCAAACAATTTCTGTTTTGTACCCACTTGGTAAAAAATAAAGTAAA